GGAAGGCTGTCCCGGTGCCAACAGTCGCGGGAGGGGCATCTCAGCCAGCTGGAGAGAAGGGGGTGCCCGCCTGACCCGCGCGGCTCCTTGGCTGAGCTTCAACCTGGGAGCCAGGAGGTCACGGTTGGGTTCCCGGTCAGGGCACATTCGGGGGTTACAGGCTTGATCCCCAGTAGAGGGTGTGCAGGAGGCAGCCGATCAGTGACTCTCTCATCATTGTTGTTTCGGTCTCTCTCTCCTTCTCCCTTCCTCTCTGAAATCAAAACCAAAACAAAACACTATATTAAAAAAAGAAGAAAAGAAGAAATGGGTGCGGATGAGAGGCCTCCCTCTGCCAGGTCACATGACTTACCCCCTCCCCCCCCCCCAGCCCATCCGCCTGCCTGGCTGCTCTGAGCATGGAGAGGGGGGGCCCCCTGCAGGGTCCTGCTTCTGACCACCTGAGGTCCAGGCAGAGCCATCCCCTCCCTGCCCTGAGGTCCCTGCGGCGAGAGGGAGGGTCTGGGAGAATTCCTAGGAGATGAGCTTTGCCACTCCCCTCGGGCTGGGAGCCCCACAGGGTGAAGTTACGTGTCCCCACCCTGCACACTGGACAACACGTGTGGGTCCTGTGACAGGCGGGCCCTTCATCCAGGGCCGGCACTGAGTGCTCACCCGGCATCTACAGGCTTCCGCACACTCCCCAGCCGCTGCAGGGCAGGGACACGCGGCTCATGCTGTCCAAGGTCCCTGATGGAGGGTCCCTGCCGACACTCAAGGCGTCTGACCTGCGGTCCCTGCCAACAGGAAGTGAGCGCCGAGAGCTCATTCCCAAGAGGCGTGGCCACCAGGGCCACTGCCCTAGAGGTTTAACATAAGAAAAGGGGGTGAGGGCATGGGCTTCACCCACTGAGCAGGGCTTGGGGGGGACCGGACAGGTGTGATGGTTGCTATGGCGCCTCATGCCCACCCAGCTGTGTGACCAGAGCGTCGGGACCCTCGTCCCACCCTCTGACCTTCAAGGAGGGGAGAGGTCCGGGCCTTGAATCAAGGCCAACGCTCTCATCACGCATGACTATGGCTGCTGCTTCCAGGGACACCCCATGGGCTCAGAGAGCTTCCAGGCGGGGCACCCCTGGCGATGTGGGGAGAGGGAGGTGCCTCCCCACACACCTTCCCTCTGCCCCTCTCCTGTCTGGCTGCTCCTGAGCTGTGTCCTTTCCTAATAAATAGATCATCCCAGGGGCAGCGGTGTGTCTGTGGGGTCTGACGCTCTCTCCGGCCAGTGGTGTCGGCAGGCAGGGGACTGGTCGGCCCGGCTGGTGCGGCTGGCGTGGCTGGTGCGGGAAAAACATAAGCACCCGCATGGGAACCGGGACCAGGAGCAGCGGGGACAGCGAAACGCCCGGGCAATAAGACGGAGCCTTCGGGCAGTTTCCCAGATGCCCCGGGAGCGGCTCGCTCCAGCCTTGTTTCTATGGTTGTGGTTGTGGTTGTTGTTAACATAAAGCAAATCGCCCTGGCCGGTGTGGCTCAGTGGATAGAGCGTCGGCCTGCGGACTGAAAGGTTCCGGGGTCGGTTCTGGTCAAGGGCATGTACTTTGGTTGCAGGCACATCCCCAGTAGGGGGTGTGCAGGAGGCAGCTGATCGATGTTTCTCTCTCATGGATGTTTCTGACTCTCTATCCCTCTCCCTTCCTCTCTGTAAAAAATCAATAAAATATATTTTTTTTAAAAAGAGGTAAAGCGAATCCCCAGAACCTGAGAGGCCTGCACGTCCACACGCAGGCACGCAGGCAAGGGGAAGCCAGGGCGTGTGTCACACCCACTGTGAGTTGTGAATGCACGGGCCCCTCTCCCCTCTTAGCGGGACTGTGAGAGGCGGCTGCTCTCATTCACGCTAAGGACACCACTGGCCGTGCGACCCTTCAGAAGGGGTGCGGGCAGGCACAGGGAGCATGAACTCGGCTCTGAACACGCGCCTGCCCGGGAAGACGGGGTGAATGCGCAGTCGCCTCTGGGGGTACCGTTGTGGGTGGTTTTTATTTTCTTCCTGTTGCTGGACTCTGCCTTTCAAACAGACCCCAGATGTGTGCTCTTCTCAGTCATGGACACAACGCCGGCGTCTTTCTGGTCATTCCCGCCCCCATGAGTGGCCTCGGAGTGGGACTCGCTCCGCAGTGCCTGTGTAAGGTCTGGTTACTTTCCCGGACTGGCGGAGGCACGCACCCGCGGGGCCTGGCACCGAGGTGAGCACCCCTCTGTGGCTGGGGGTGACCCGGCCACGCTGACGAGGGCTCCTGCTGTCCCCGGAGTCTCCTCCCTGGATCTGACCCCTGTCCTGGGGCCTGGAGCCGAGGCTGGCCCATCGGGATGGGAAGGGAGTGAGGCCATGGCCTTCGGGGAAGGTGAGTGCTTCTAACCAGGGGATGTCCCAGGGAGACCAGCTCCAGCCGGAAGGCGTGAGGGGAACGCTGGGGCCAGGGAGCTGGGAGCAGGCGGGAGAGGGAGCAGGTGACGGAACCGTCCGCCTTTCCTGCCTGTGGGGCCGATGCAGGGCCAGCCCCGGGCATCTGCGGGGTCCAGACTGAACGGACACCAGGAACCAGGGTGCTGGGGGAGCCCTTTCTCTCCTGGGCAGCTGACCAGGTCTCACTCAGCAGGGCAGCGCTCTGACCTCTCAGCCCAGGGCTGCTGCCATGCTGGTCCCCGTCTGCAGGAGCTCAGCCCTCTGACACCCACGCTGGGGGCTGTTGCTATGACACCCACGCCCAGGGCTGCTGCCATGCTGGTCCCCCGTCTGCAGGAGCTCAGCCCTCCCGCAGGATGAGTTGGGGACACTGGTCCGCAGACGCTAGCTTCCACGTGGAAAACAAGAGGAGTGTCCGCCATCTCATCTCCACTCCCCTCGTTGCCGAGAGGCTAAAATGTGCTCACGAGCCCGCACAGCCTTGCCGATGCTTAATGTGTCCTTGCCTTGAGCGATGGCAGTTTGTAAAGTGCACGACGGCCTTAAACACACTTCATCACACTCACTGAGACAGGAGGCTCGTACAAAACACATTTTAATACATGATATCTTCCAACACAGCACCAGCCACAGAGGACAATATATACATGCGTTTCCCTAGGATCTCAGAACGTGAGTCACACTCAAGGCGGGATGGTAAACCCTAGGGCGCAAGCTGCCTCTGTGATCACAGCGGACTGAGTGTCTTCTGCGAGGGGTGGCCGCGCCGATCGTCCGATTGAGCCCCAGGTGACCTGTTCGCTCGCTTTAGTATCAGGTTCTCTCTCTCTCTCGACCCAACAACTAGATCCCAAACTCCCGCCAGACGCAGGGCAGGCGCCTGCGTTCCGGGTGGTTCCGCCAAATGGTCTCACTCATCTTCACAGGTGACAGCAAGGGGCCCATTCCCATCCCCTTCGGCTAAAGAACACAGAGGAGTCGCACTTAAGGCCGGATGGGTGATGACTCGAGTCGCGTCAGCGTAGATCTAGGCTCCTGAAGACGAAATCCCACATAAAGCTGGATGGGCGATGGCTCGCGTCAGCGTAGATCTAGGCTCCTGAAGACGAAATCCCAGTCCCGCTACCACAGCGGGACGTCCGCAGGAATGCAAGGCTCCGCGGCCTCTGCCCGTCACGCTCACACGGGGCCGCCTCGCGCCCATCGCCCTGTGCTTCCCAGCAACCAGGGAACACGTTTCATGAAACTGGAGACTCGCGTTTAAAACTGAGAGCGTCAAGCACCCCGTTATACAATCCAACTCGGAAGCACCGAGCCGCGAACCCTGAGCTGCTCCCGGCTGAGAGAGGGGAGCATGCGAACGTTTTAAACATCCAGGCTTCGCTGTCCTGAGGGCGCGAGGAAGGCTGAGCTTTCCCGGCAGCAGAGCCGCAGCTTCTGACGGCAGCTTTCGCTTGGTTTTGTTTGATGTTTCCCTTCGGGGCAGGAGAAGTCCGGGCTCCTTCAGCGGAGAAACAGTCCCTCCGGTCGGAGGAGGTGACTCAGGCTGGGGTCCTGTTTCAGAGGCACCCAGGGCGGGAGCGCCCGACAAGCTTCCTCGTGTGGGATAATGTGACGACTGGCAGAGCACACGCACGTTAAGCGAAGAAAAACCCCGAGTTCTGTTTACGCTGACTATACTGATTACAGCGACATCATCATAGCCTCGATCCCGTCCACGTCCACAGGGGAGAACAGCTCGCTAATCCACCTTTTCCTCCTTTTCAGCCCAGGGAAAGCCGGGTGTTCGTTTAGGGCCCCGGACGCAGTAGCTGCTTCATCTGTGTGTGTGTGTTTTGTGGAAAACTGATGACAACACTATGGGACACACACATTCCTGCTGAATGACAGGGGCTTAAACTCGGAAGGAGGGATGTCTTTGCTGAGAAACAGACACGCGAAGGACAGACCCTTCCGACTCCGCAGGCCTTGAGAACAGACCAGCCAGTGGAGCGGGCCGTGCGGCCGGGCACGCGCCACCCAGTGGCGGGCAGCGGAGTGGCAGCGGGATGAAAATAGCTCTTTCCTCTGCTCCTGCCAAAAATTTTCCATGATTTTGCTTTTTTGGAAACAATGACAGGAAGTTATCTTTTCCAGGCCATAAACAAGGACTCGGTTACATAAACAAGGGCTTGGTCCTGACCCCTTTCGGGGACAGGTCCCTCCCGGTCTCGCGTGGTGCGAGGGAGAGACGCGGGGCCCTGTCCTCGGGCCTGGACGGCGCTTCGCTCCCAGTGACCCCGAGGACTTGAGAAGCAGGACGCGGGCCCTCGGCTCCATCCACGGGGGACCCGGTTGGTGTGTGCCCCTCCTCACGCTCTCCCACACGCCCGTGCCGACAGCCATCCGCCCCGTACACGCCCCAGTTTCTGCTTAACAGACTCGTGCGGCTTGAATAATAGGTCCACACAACAACCCAAGGCCTGAGCCCTGGTCAACTTCATCATGAACTGGGAAGTGTACCTGGGATTTGCTAGGAATCTTGGGGAGGAAGGAGAGAGAGAGAGAGCGAGCGAGAGAGAGCCCTCGTTTATGGAGCAGTCAGCCTGGGCCCTGGGCTGGTCCCAGCATCATCGGGGGACACGGCTACCTCCCCGGGCCGGCACTGAAGCCTGATAAGGTGGCCGTTCCTGAGCCGGACACACCTGTGCCGCGTGCTGCACGCCTGGGGAGGGAGTCCAGGGTGGCCGTGGTGCGAGGGCAGGAAGGGAGATGGTGTTGCCTGAAGCAGCCGTGGCTGCAGGGAGTGTTCCAATTTTTTCCAGTTTTTTCCAGATGTGAACACTGGCCTCTGGGGATTCAGCAGAAAAGACGTGACCATCAAATGAACAAACCAGGAAAGATGACTTGGAGATGGAAACGCAGGGATCACCGGAAACGGTGCTCAAAACACCCCAACCAAACCAAACAAGCGAAGTGGCCGCAGCGAATGGTCTGCGTCCATGGAGTTCAGTTACCATGGTAACTTGCGCCGGGACCACACAGTCCCAGGTGCGGCAGGGGCCCCGCGACGCGGCCAGGCGTCCGGCAGCCCTACCAGTCCAGCTTCAGGTCGGCCTTGCTCCAGACGTACTTGCCTCCGCGCTTGAGGAACGACTCCTCGTCGAAGCCGCTGAACTTGATGGCCTCCTGCACGCCCACATCCAGGATGGAGCGGGACGGGTCCTTGCGGCCCTCTCTGCAGTTCAGGAAGCGCATCTGGAAGGGCAGGGCAGACATGGGGGCCCGTAAAACTCACCGCTGGACCCCAACCCGATTTGTCGGCGTCCAACCATTTCAGTCCATGTCAGCCTCGGGCCGAGGGCCGGATGCCATGA